ATGATGTAATCATTTTAATGTTAAAACACTTTCTTCAGTCCCACTTCAGGGGATACATGAAGAATGCTAACCAGCTAACTCATAGTAATGCAGAGATCCTTCATGTCCCTCATTTTGAAAAATCTCAAGTTGTGTGGGATATTGTGTCCAACCAAAAGGGAACTAGGAAGAAGTGATGACCACACAGATAATATACATTAGTTGACTGACTTACAGTTGACACCAGGTGGTTTAGATTTAGCTGGTTAGCTGATTAGTTAGCCCCAGCTTACTACAGTATATAGCATTGGTTTATGCCTGCAGAGGTAAAAAAATGTGTCTGGTAGATATATTGCTATACTGTTTATATGATTTGTGTTTCATAGTTTTGAAGAACAGCTTTAAATGTGCCATCAAATTCATTTAATATTATTAGTTGTCCTGTTTAAAATATTTTGTCTGAAGTGTTACTTAATGTGAAGCTGTTTTTGTGTTTATGCCAGGCAGACTTAATATTCATCTTAATCTGATCTTTTATTTTGCATTTAGTTCCCAATCATAAAAAGTCTAATTAGATGAAAGGCCTTCAATTTGTAAAATATTTAACTGACTATCAAAAAAAAAAACAGGCTGCACTATATATAAACCATTCTTTACAGAATTTCCATCAAAAATAACTCATGATATATGCCAATTTTGTCATATTAAATTCAAGATCGTGGACATGCCATCCTTCTGTTATGTTCCCCTAGTAAATCATCTTCATCATTTTAATGAAAAAATGGAAGTCCAACTTCTCATTTATATTTAAATACAAATAAATCATGCTCCTAAATGATTTATGCATTTTTAAAACCTAGAGATATGTGCAGAGCTTACAATTAATAATGCTAATACAAATGAAAACGGGATACCGTTCTAAAAATGATGTTTTTTCATCTGAAGTGTGATGAGTCAGTGGATCAATAAAGAGTAGACATTGAGGGGTAATAAAAAATGAGAGGAGTGTTTATTTATCTCAATTTCTCTTTAAGTGCATTTAGCCTTTTGGGCTTCTGCGGTTCACAGTAAGAGCAAAAACTATGGAATTCTGGATTTTTTTTTCTTGCATGAGTGTCTCTACCAAGTCTATTAGATAGGGTGCTTTTCTCTTTTTCACTTTCTTTCCTGTATTGTTTCCCTTCATTGAACAGCTATAGCAGCACAAAAGACCTGAGACTTCAAAATTTATGATGCATGTCTCATAACCCTTTTGTGATTTGAAAAGCAATTATTTCCCATGGTGTTATTAGAATGGCAAATCAAGGGAAAGATCCAATAAGATATTAAAAAAACAAATGATTTTTTTTTTCAAAAGAAGGTTGAAATGAATGTGTGAATGTGTGTACATTCTTCTCACTACAAGTAAAATCTATAATGATATGAAAATAGCAATAGCACTTAATAATAATAGCAATTATATTTATTTATATATATATATATATACACTGAATATATGCATTCATGGGAGCTTATTAAATTAAAATTTTAAATTAAAATTTATGCATTTAGGTAATTTAATTTATTACCTCACACGTATAATTAGAATTACATACTGAGAATATGCTAGAACATCTTGTGCCATTAAATCCTATTACTTGTGTCGTTTCTCATAGTGAAATACTTCTACCTTTATATGGTGGAAACAGGTATTGACTCACTTTTAACGTCAAGAAGAGCAACAAGGCAGAAATGAGGAGAGAGGAACAGTTGCAATTTACACTTTGGTTCTGGAGTGGCAGCTCCTATTGAGAGGACGTTAGGAGAAGGAAAACTGATCGCTTTCCCCAAGAAATGATGATTAAATAATGGACACCCATGTCCTTGGTGAATTCATGAGCTGTCAGCAGTTTTTCTTCTGCTGGTACCGGTTTTGTGATCAATAGCTGGCTCGCAGCCAAGCCATGCAGCACCAAACTTCAGTATTTACACCATTCCTGACAAACTGCTTGGGTAACCGAATTACATCTTGTGATTGAACAAAGTTATGATTCTGTTTATTGTGATTTGAAATGTACAAATGTGCAGTACTTTTGAAAAAGTGTTTGCAAGTAAGCAAGGCAAACTACTAACCAACTTGAATAGTTCACCCACAAAAGGACATCCACAATATTGCAGTGAAAAATCTCATCCAAATCAGGAGAGAAATATGCACAGATCAAGCACTTACAAGACAGTCCAAGACAGTTCTAAAGAAGTATGCCAAATATATTTCATAATGTTAAAGGGGTCATGAACTGCTTTTGTTTTTTGTACTGTTCTCTGATGTGCACTTATTATATTATCAAGATTTTTACATCAAAAAACATAATTTATAAGTAATATGCTACTTTCTGTCCTGTTTTGACCCCGCTCATCGGAACGCTCTGTTTGAATAAGCGTGGTGGATTGTTGACTCGGAAGTAAACGCCCACTGCGATGATTGGCTAACAGTTGTGTATGTTTGACAACCTACATCCTTCATGGATGGATGCTGATGTGATTTAGGTTAAAAACGCATAAATACTCAGTACATATCAAACAATCTGTAATAACTGACAAAGCAATAGTGAGCACATAATAAAAACAGTTACTCACACTTGTGTGTTTTACTGTCGGATCCAATATATTCGGCACAGCATCGTTTTTTTTTTTGTTTCAATTTTTGCGTCAAATTCTGCCTTGTTTATAAACGAATCCATGGTAAAATGAGGTGAACAAAGGACCAAGTTCTTACTGACGCGGTCTGGATCTTCATTAAAAATAAAGTTCATCCACTCTTTTCTAATGTTGGGATCAGATGGAAGGCGATGCAAAGACTGTGTTTGTCCTCAACTTGGCATTGCAAAATGTGTTGTTGTCTTCGGAACATCTTTATCATTTGGTTTCTGCATAGACCTGCGTTTGTCTCTGTCGTTATTTATATTACATGCGTGAATCGGTGGGTGGGGCTAAACAGGCAGTGATGTAGAAGCAGGCGTTGATCATCTTCTGTGGAGGCGGTGTTTAGCCACACTATTACGTCATAAAGTGGCACATTCCATGACCTGCCGTTTTGGCAGATTGACTTCAATATAGGCTGATTTTAGACTAACACGAAAGTTTGAGTTCTGAAACTTACGGGATGTTTTTATAGTACAATGACGTCTTGTATGTAAAATGATCAAGGGAATTTTGATTTCTCAGTTCAAGACCCCTTTAACATTATTATGAATTATGGACCATAATTTGTCCAGAAGCTTTTAACTTAACAGGATGTTGATAGACTGTAGTTGTGTGGTTGTGGTTGTGTAGTTGATGTTTTTATCAGCTGTTTGGACTCTCTTTCTGACGGCACCCATTCACTGCAGAGGATCCATTGGTAAGCAAGTGATGTAATGCTAAATGTCTCCAAATATGTTCTGATGAAGAAATAAACTCATCTAGGATGGCCTGAGGGTGTTCAGTATTTTTTCATTTTTGGGTGAACTGTTCTTTTAACTAGTAGCATGATAGTATTTTATTTATTTATTTATTTTTTCACAATTAGTCACTTTTTATTGTTACAGTTATATTTCCAACACTTGGCAGTGTAGCATGACAAAATGCTAGCATTTCAGATACTTTCATGAATGTCCGACTCCGAACTATAATGAAATGTAACTTGACCTATATTTAACAATTTATTATATTATCATTACAGTAAATAACATTTCTCCTGTTCAACTTTAATATCCGTAACCCGATCATAACAGAAGGTCTAAATGACTCCATATGGAACTGCAGTCTGATGTATCTTCTTTAATGGTAAGAATAGACACAACAGTCCCTGCGCAATGATTGTTGTTCTCTTATGTTTTGCTGCTGTTTCTTTTTAGCTGAAGGCCCACTGTTGGATCCTTTACTGTCTAGGTTCACTTGTCTCTTTCCCACAGGAAGACTTAGAAATCTTCATCTGAGGAAAGAGATGGATCTTTCAGCTGAGCTGTGGCGTCATTAGATACTTTAAAGAATGTGCTCTGACTAATCCTTACATTCCAAACAGGGATTTTCGTAAGTGATTTCTTACGCTAAATTGCATCCCAAAACAGTGGAAGCACCTCGTTCATTTAACGAGTTATTGTGTTTTAATGGGCTTGGCTTTGAAGCATTTAAAGCTTGTGATCCTGCTGAGTCAGGCTGAGCTGAGAGGAGGCAGCAAGGCATTGAGATCAATGGTGTTTGAATCAGGAAACAGGGTTTAACCTTTGAGGGTTCAGCAAAACAGCATCTCTAGACAATGGAGAAAATAATGATTGCAAGGAAATAAAGGCTATGTCCCACTGTGTCTCACCTTCTGAATGAAATCTCGCCCTTTTCTGTCAGAGGTCTGTCACACTCACTAATTAAAGAAGGAAGAGGGCTGACAGATTGAACGACTGCCTCTTGACATTTTTATATTTTTCATTCTTCGTTGTCATGTGAAGCTCACTTAAATGTTTCTGACCTCTCTGCTTTAATAAAGCTTGCACATGGATCTGCATGTCTCATGTCTTGTCAGCCCCGTAACAGAAACATTGAATTAAACATGACAAATAAACATATTAAACAGACAAATTTGATTCATGATTCATTTTCAAAACCTATTTTTGCAATTTTAAAACAATTCATTTTAATTTAATTTACATTGATTTACAGTGATTAACTTTTAATGATAAAATTACTATTTTTCCAAACAAACAATAAATAAATAGGGTTGTTCCATGTCAAAGCAACCAAATTTAAAAAAATTACCCAGCTCCAATTTCTTTTCTAATTTTTTTTTTCTTAAGAAAGATAAACATCATAATGAGGAAAGCCAAAATATTAAATGTCACGAATGTATATTTTCTGAGTAATCCACTATTTTGTAGAGGGGGGTCAAAATGACAAAATTTCACCTCAGATTCAGAGCCAAATTACAGGGGGTTAAAAATGACTTCAGAAAGATGGCAGCATCATTATGTTATTTTTACACAGAGATTGATAGGTCTATTAGTAAAATCTGTTGACTTTAGCAATCTTTGTTGCATTATATACCAATGGTGGCCATTCAAAAATGGGAAAGAGCACTTTTGAAGTGCAAGTTTGCATGTAACTCAGGAAGTATTAAATATATATTAATGCCCTTTTAATGCCAAGGGACATCTGGTTGAGTTGACAAGGAATAACCTAATAAATACATTTTAAAGTATGTATTTATTTTTGTTTGTTTGTTTGTTTGTGGCCTATATTTGGAGCCCATTATGAAAAAGTAGGCCAAGTTGTTTTATATGTAAAAAAAAAATGACAACATTCATTCACCTCTACACATTAATTTATATGGTTTAATGTTTACTGACTTTTGTAAATATTGAGTGCTAATTTACAGAATCACGATTAATTGAATTTTTTTTTTTTTTTTTGCATTTTAATTTGATTAGTAACATTTTTATTTTATTAATGCACTGATTTCCATTTACCGAAAAAGTTGATGTGAAGAAAAGTTTCTCAGCTTCTTGGATCAGAGTTTAAAACAGCAATCTGAAAGGTTATGGTTTTACCTAATCGGAGAAGCTAAAAATACATCCCTGTTTTCTTTGAACTCTGGCGAAAAGAAGGTGAAATTGAGGAAGAAGGCGCCTGAAGATTACAAAGGAACAGCCGATGTGAGACTGTGTATCATCATCAAAGACAATAACTTTGAAGCCAGCTTTCACTGGGTAATAATTAGACTCAGTTGAGCATAACACTTTTCAAAAAGCTCGCTAATGACTTTATGTACAGCAAATTTAATTAAATGCCTAACCATTCACATCAATTGGGAGAGGAATATGGAAAGTGTTCTCTCTACTCTAATGACTTGAAATTTTGAAGAGAAAGTAAAAGTGTGGCCTTTCCCCTGCAGAGAATGACTTCTGATAATAGCAACATTTAACCCGAATAATTTGAAGGCCCTTGGTGTACATATTAAGGGATTATATTTATGTATGCAAATAAAGGGATTACACCGTATGGATGGGGACGGTCTCTTCTCAAACCGGACATCAAAGTCTGGTACGGAGAGAATGTTAACCGGTAATTTTTTAAGCTAGCATAATCTGTAGTTGGGTTTGCTGAAACGTTTCTCAGAACTGCTAAAGTTATTGCATCAGTCAATAGAAATATTCCACTCAAACCAAGTGAAGTTCTGTTGAAGTTCAGTGTCTGGCATTGGACTTTAAAAGGAACCAATATTTTCAATATAAAAATCAGTTAGCATTCCCATTCATCTCAATGGTGGTTGCACGTTCAGCCATGGAAGTAGCAACCTGAATGCTGCCATCTTTGCTTTACAGGCACACAGTTAAATTTATAAACCTTTTTTTGAGTCGTAAACAGAGCAGCAGGTACTGTAAATAACATCCTGATTGACATCACTTATTGGCTGATAGCACCATGACAATGCGCACAAGCTCTTGACTAGTATATACAAATTCCTGTCTTCAGGCTTGTGCATGAGCTGTGATGTCAACAACAGCAGACAAAAAAAAAATATAAAAGATTTACAAAAATGTCACTGGTAAAATATTTAATAATTGATTGATTGATTGATTTCTTGCTTGCCAAAAACCTATGTGTGTAAGTCTGGGTCAATATTATTTATTTATTTATTTATTGTAACAATGCAAAACGCTTTACTACCACTTCAGATCAATGTAATACTATACTAATTACAATGAATGAATGAATGAATGAATTATCCTACTGATCCCAAACTTTTACTGAACCTGAATGGTTTTATATGTATAGTGTTAGTGGCCTATATTTAGAGTATATAAAAAAAATAAAAAAAAAGTAGGCATATTTTGAAAAATGTTCTAAATAAAAAAAAGCCAGTATTCATTCACCTGGTCTCCACCAATGGTTACTGACTGTTGGAAAGTCCAGAAAGTGTTATAGCGATGTCTGTCTCTTTTTGGTTGGCGTTTTAAGAACACATAACTGCATAAGTGCTTTTGACCATGTAAAAAATGCTTTTGACCATGTAAACATTCCCAGTGCAAGGTGAAAATGTATGCCAACCCTTTGGCAGCTATAAATTGAACCCCACCAAACATTTCCAGTAATTGAATCCCATACACAGTGGGAATCCCATACAAACCCCAAATGAATCCCATACACAGTGTTGTTATGAAATACCCAATTTCTTCCTGCAGTAGCAGAACAGCACAAGGGGGTGTTTCCTCAGCAGTTGCAGTGCTGTAGTTCACGTGTGTCTCGCTCTAATCCTCTCAGTCTGCTTTCACATGCACACTCTGTCCTCACTGAAATATGTTAATATCAAGCCGAACAGGTGTAGGGGAGAAAGGCCAGTCTGTTTAGACACATTTAGCAAGAAAAGCAGACTCTTTCACACTCCTCAAGGTCATATAGATGGAAGACACTTCCTATGGTTGGGAGATACTGCATGACACGGCTGTTATCTGTAATCATAGTGGACCAGAGTCTGGCATGGGTTACACCTCGTAATGAGGAAAGGCTTTTAACTTTGGAGGGTGAATTTACTAATCAGTTTCAACCTTTTTGTGCAACATATTTCAATATATTACATATTATTTTTACACAGATGTTTTGAATTCTGAAAGTTACTGTGCATTCATTTAAAGTGCATTAATCTCAAAAGATCAAGGGAACATTTACTGCTAAAGACCTTTTTAATTTCTTTCATACAAACCGGGTGTGAATTAAGAATTTAAAAGTTTGCTGTCTCATTTTTGCATTTGCCAGATGCTTTCATTCACATCTATTTATCTATTTATTTATTTAAAATAATAAAATTACTCAAACTTTAAAATGGAAAATATAACATGAAAAACAGATTCAAAATATTAATAATAGAAACTGATATAATGATGCTAAAATAACACGGCACACAGAACTAATGGACAGTAAAGCACAAACGGTTAAATAGTCCTGTTTCCCTGCATGTCTATAAACAGCATGCAATGTATGTCACACATAATGTTCGTGCTGTGGAAACCTGTGCATGAAACTCCACAACACTACACACCTGTCAGCCTTGTTCCCTTGAGGGATCTTAAAGTCCATTATATTGAGTGTTTTGCATTAAGAAAGCCTTAACTATGCTAATGAAAGTGTTGAAAAATGAATTAAAATATTAAAAAGGTCAGGTTGTGCTGCTGCAAGTGTTTCCTGTTAAGCAGACATCACAGACGCTAGAGTTTAAATATTATTCGCATAGCCAAATGTGCATGGAGAAATCATGGGGTAAATGAGTCACTTAGCTAATATCTGGCATTGTCATAAAAAAATCAGCTGGTGGCAGTTTGATAAACTGCCTTTGGCAAGTCTTGAAAATCTAATATTCCTGAGGAACACTTGTTTCGTATCATTAGCAACTGGATTAAGAATTCCCTTTGTGCTTTTCGTCGCATTTTCCTGTGAAGTATAATCTTTGAAAACATTTTACTTTTTCTTTTTTTCTTTTTTTTGAAGGTGGAGGTGTCTAATCTGTAAGGCATTTTGATATGAGGCAGTGCAGCAAACCTGAAGCGACAACGATTTGAACTACAAAAGCAAATCCCCGCTGAGCCTTCATGCAAAGCCAAACCTGATGTGGAGAAGATGAGGATAAATGTCTTTAGTGAGGCAGATCGGACAGGTAAAGGGAGTGATCATCAGGTGTTTTTACAGCCAAAACATGAAAGCAGTGTAGATATTATAAGCCTGGCTAGCTATCTGTGTCTCACATAGATTATTTATCGGGATACATTCACACGGATGTGTAAACAAATTAGCACAGTGGCCACCACTGAGGCTTTGCTTTCAAAGAGGAGATTTAGCGTGCAGGAATTACAGTATTTTTAACCACTTTTTGTTAAAAAACATTGGAAATTTGGAAAAGCTGCAAAAAATGCAATTAAAAGCTGTTAAAATGCATGTAGATAAACTAGTAGAGCTTGGAGCTAACAAGGTCATGGGTCATTCACAGGGATAAAATGGATAGCTTGAATGCTTTGTAAGACACTGTGAATAAAAGTGTCTGCCAAATAGATATTTAGTAAACACCGTTAGTGTGCAGTGATCTGAGGGATTTAAGCCACCACTGAGGCTTTGCTTTCAAAGAGGAGATTTAGCGTGCAGGAATTACAGTATTTTTAACCACTTTTTGTTAAAAAACATTGGAAATTTGGAAAAGCTGCAAAAAATGCAATTAAAAGCTGTTAAAATGCATGTAGATAAACTAGTAGAGCTTGGAGCTAACAAGGTCATGGGTCATTCACAGGGATAAAATGGATAGCTTGAATGCTTTGTAAAACACTGTGAATAAAAGTGTCTGCCAAATAGATATTTAGTAAACACCGTTAGTATGCAGTGATCTGAGGGATTTAACCTGTAAATGTTTTTCTTCAAATCTCAATGCTATTGTACATTTGATATACTCGTTTTGATGAAAAATTGACATGATTTAATTAGTGTTATTTACTCTTTGTATATTTTCATTATATTTGATATTATTAGTAGTAGTATTTTATATTTTTTGCTATTTACTACTTTGATGTATTTAAACTGCTAAACTGGATGCTATTTTATATTTGGCAGTTTGAGCTGCACATTCTGGTGAAAGATGGGCATTTTTTAATCATGTGAATTACTGCAGGTTTTCTACAGTGCATTTCTGAGGGTTAGAGAGCTGATATTGTACACTTTTGTAGCATGTAACTTTTTGTCCGTCCACTTATTGTGTTCATCAAAGGTCAGAATTTAATTTTAAATGATGATTATTCACTCTCTTTCTGATCTTTAAATGCATCTTTTGGCAATCCATCGGGGCAGGATGAATACTCAATAGGTTTTGATATGTAAATATGCTCTGCCATATGTTAATGTACTCATGGATTTCGGCATAGTCATAAAGGTTTCTGAACCCACTTTTGCTGGCATGAAGCTTTGTGTTGTGAATGTTAGAGAAGGTCTGTACAGAATATATCCACTTTAAAAGCAGATCTGTAAAAATATTAAGTACGGAATCTCTTTGTTATTTGTACTAACTTAATGGCTTTTTCAAAAAAAGAAAAAAAAAAGAAAAAAGAAACTACTGATAATGAATCACAGTGATTTCCACCTGCAGTCATCTTATGGTTTGCACCCATTCTGGGTAACAGAGACTTATTATCTTCCAGAAAAACTCTCTGGGGTCATTGTTATTGCACAGCAAGATACTGAATTAAATTTATCTGGCCTCAGCATTTCAATATGAAAATAACACTAATGTGTGATCTGTTGATAGTAATTAAAGTTTGGATAGCTGAACCTTGGGTAGTAAAATGTCTATTTATTTTCATTTTTGATTTGTTCTTTGCTACTGGATAATCTGGTATATACCAAGATTGGCCTTTTGACATGACTCAGGCCAGATTCGAACCCACATGAACGCAGCAGATCTTCATGTATTGAGTATTCTACCCATCAGCATTTACTCATAAAAGAAACATGCATTTATCCGGAGGCCGTCACCAAATTTGAAGAAAATAAAATGGCTTAATATGCATCGGATTCTTCATTAGGATAATGCACTTGGGTATAGAAACAATTCTGTTTTTCTTCCCCCCCCCCGGGTAAGAAGTGCCTAATGTATGCAAATGCATGCATCAGCCTTCAGGTGGCTCTAAAATTAAAATATCCCTAAACAGGCGTATACAAGTACGTCTTATTCTCTTCCTCTTTAACTATTCTGAGGTCATAAGTTTATAACACCACGCTATCATTATCAGATAAGTCAAGCGGTGAGAGTTTCAAGGGCATGGTTAAGGGAATCATTGTGTTAGGCCAAATATTCTGACTAACAAGATCTTTTGGGTGCCTCGTGGCAAGGTGTGCCATTTAGTGTCAGGAACCGCAGCAGCGGGTTCAAAGCTGCTCTTACTGATTGATGAAAGAGGAGGAAGGATGTATCCGTATCCTCGCCTCCTCAGCTATACGTCCACATCCTTGGCCTGTTTTTCACCCAGGGAGAGTGCATTATGTGTGAAGAGTGGCGTTCACTGCAGGGTGAACTTGTTCATGCGGTAAGTCCTGCATTCACTGTGAATCACAAACACTCGCCATTCCAGCCAAATCGTCACCCTCACAGGCTGATTTGTCAAACAGAAGGGTTTCTTTCACCTGCTCTCTCTCCTTCCTCACTGTCACTAGAGTCTCCAAGCTTCCTATTTGACAGTATTGATCTGTTTTTTTTTTTTTTTCTTCACCTCAGGACTGTCTACATGCTTGTAGCTTGATAGACTAAGCTCTGGGTTGGTTTTTATTCAGAGTGTGTGGGGGATAAGCTTTTAAGACAGCATTGGAATAATCAAACTCTTATGTCAGACAGGATGAGGTGAATGACATTTCGAAGAAATCCATGCAGATGTAGTACCTCCTGATATCCAGCAATGCTCCTGTTAGGATTTGATTCATGTCTCTGAATATTGAAAACTAATTTTAATCTTCTTAATTGATTTATTCTAGTTGGAAGTTTAGAATCCAATTTACAATTTAGAATATGTCAGACAGGATGAGGTGAATGACATTTCGAAGAAATCCATGCAGATGTAGTACCTCCTGATATCCAGCAATGCTCCTGTTAGGATTTGATTCATGTCTCTGAATATTGAAAACTAATTTTAATCTTCTTAATTGATTTATTCTAGTTGGAAGTTTAGAATCCAATTTACAATTTAGAATACAAATGCCATGGTAGTTTTAAATGTTTTTTTTTTTTTTT